CCGGGCTGGGCGCGCCCGCCTAAATTGTGTATGAGCCTCCAGAGCCGGCCCCGGCCGCCGCGCCTGCCGCTACTACTACTACGACTACTACAGGTAGTAAAGTCCGAGGCCGGCTGCTCCTGAGGGGCCGAAAGGCCCAGCAGGCCCCAGAGCGCCGCGGGCAGGGCTAGGCTCGGCTCCGACCTTGTAATTCTCCACCACAATACACGGCGGCGTTGGTGTTTGTACAGCAGCGGAGCTACACCGCCCCCTCTGTAGCTCAATGTACTCGCTTACCTTTGGCCGCTGCTGTGCTCGCCTCCCAGTGCGCTCCACTTACTCCCCCATTCGCTTTTCACTCACCTGAGCGCGGACAGCTGCCATCTGCATTTGCGCCACCCGCAGGTCGTACTTCTTGACGCTGATCTCGTCCTGGAGCTCGTTGGCCTTGTTGAAGAGCGCAGACTCGAGCGACCTGTGAGCCGGAGCGGGAGAGAGGCACACAATATTTGAGTCGCGGCGGCGGCGGCAAAACTTTCAAAAGTATTCATTCCGTTTGTGTTTTTCCCGCCCCTACCTCTGCTGCATCCGGTGCAGGGTGTCCAGCGCGTCCGTGAGCTGCTTGCACTGCAGCTCCAGGTCCTGGCCCTCCTTGCGCAGCGCCTCCAGCTGCACCCGCACCTGGATGCTCGCCAGCCGGTCCGTCACCAGCTCGTTCTTGAGCGCGGGCGGCAGCATCGTGTTCTGCAACACGACCCGCTCGCGTCGTCAGCTCCGGCGGCCGCTCGTTACACTCTGACTAACTAGGATGGGTGCGCGGTACCTTGCAATTAGGAAAAATGTCGTACCAAAAAGCAGAGAGGGGAAGCGTGCGAACCAAATGTTATGTAACCAAACGTTCGCCAGGTGTGAGTGCAGCGAATCTGATGGACTACATGGTTCGTCATGATACGACCGAGGGGGAACCAACTTGGAAATTTGGTGAACTGTGAATATATTCAAATATTCAATGTCACTGAATACCAGTGAATATCACTGAATACCAGTGAATATCACTGAATACCAGTGAATATCACTGAATACCAGTGAATATTCACTGTGATTGTTGATTAATATCCTTGAATATTGATGAATATCGATGAATATCGATGAATATTTTGAATATCTTGTGAATATTCGCAAATATCACCTGAATACCTATTAGATATTAACCAGCGGGTGCACCGTGAATAGTCGAAGTTGATGCCCCCTCGGATACGACTTTGTTCAAGGTTCACATACAGAAACGGAGATAAAGTAACATAATCTAGAGTAAGTTCTGTGACCATTGTAAATTTTTTCAAACCAGTCTAAAATACAATGCCCTTAAAAATAGATATATATATATCTTCTCTGCTCACCCCCAAGTCGTTGCCGGGGGCGTCCGAGTCCGGCGGGGGGACGTGCGGTGCCGAGAAGTGGCGGCGCACCACGGGGTGGGGGTGCGCGCCCTGCGGCGCCAGCGCCCGCACCACCTGCACGATGTCCGCCTGCGCCGACGACGACCTGCACGAGGCGGCCAGGGCGTCGTACCGACGCTGCTGCTCCTGCGCCTGTCGCCCAAACACACAAGAAGGGTTGTCATTGTCTATCGGACTGTTTTACAAGAAACGCCTGGTAAAGAAAGAAAAAAACCACAACATTGGGCATGGTGGCAGTTATTAGTCGAGAGACACTGTATAAGGATATAAGATGAGACAGTAGACATTGGTCTGGGACCTTTGCCGAAATACCCCACGGCCTTTCCCCCGAGGGGGTGGGGGTGGCAAAAGCTGATGAACACACCCCTCTCTCCGAGCCGGGGGTATAGAGGCGGCTGCGCCCAGCAGAGCTACCCCATCCAGTCGGGGGCGGAACGGAACGGAGTCTCGCCGGTCCCTGGGTTTGGCTCCATGCCGCGGCCGTGGAGGTCTCCAGCCAGCCCCGAGGCGGCCGTCGGCAAGCCCGGCACTTGCGCCATGTAACCGAGCGCGGCCTCACGTAGAGACCACGGCACTCGCACCGCGACGGGTGCGGGGCCGGCCTCGGGCGGGCGGCGCGCGGCCCCTACCACCTCCCCCTCACACACATCAGTCTCAGTCACGATTGCCATTCGCCCGCAAAAATAGCCCCCGCCGCAGCCAGGAATACCGCAAATTTGCACTGCCAAAAGATAAAATGCCCGCGGTGGTGCAGGCGCAACCTGATGGTCGGCCCCGGGAATGAGAAAGGGCGAAAATGAGGCGAAACAACAAAATGAGATTTACGACGAGGTGGAGTAAACAGACATTTTTGTGCCGGCGGCGTTGGCGGTGGTGGTGAGTCCCGGAAGGTGTTGTGCAAACTCAAGACAACGGCTGCGGCGCCTGCGGCGGCAGCGCGCCCCGCTCCTCCAGTCAACATCAGGCACAAAAGGAGTCAACCGGATGTAATTAAATGTTAAGGCGGTTGGATGAGAAACGTCAACTCCGTTCGCAACCCCTTTTGCTTTCCGAGTACGTTTCGGTCTGAGTGCGCACCGCGCCGCCCCGCGCCGCCCCGCGCCACGCCCCGCGCCAAGCCCCGCAGGCAGGGGCGTGCTGCCGCTGCAGCCGCGGTGCCTGTGCAGCTCCCAGGACGCGCTGCTCTCTGTGCCGCCGCTGCCGCTCCGGCTGCGGCTTGTGACTTGCCGTCTTCTACAAACAGCTGAGCCGCACAGCCGCTGATGGCGCCCGATTTAATTATTCACACGTCAGCGCCCCTCCCCCTTCCTCCCTCCCCCCTCTCCCACCCCTCCACCAATCCTACCCAATCCCCCGTTCTCCTGCCCCTGATTTCCCACCCTCTCCCTCCCCCTTTCTCCTTCCTAGCGACGCCTGTGCACTGAACCTCTCTCTACAATTCTCGCCTATAAGACGCTTGGCTCGTCTCCTTTTCTCTCTATCTTACTCATACTCTCTCTCTCTCTCGCATTTGTATTCTCTTACTCACTGTGTGCATCTCCCCATCCCCCTCTTTTTGAGCACAAGGCCGAGTTGTTGAGTTGAAGCACGCAGACAAAAACCACAATACGTTAATTCCGGGGCAAAATGTTTGTCATTCTTTCCCCCACAAACAGCAACACAACACAATAAAAAAAGTCTGTATCGTGGTGGAAGTAATAATAATAACATTAATAAAAACAATAAATGTGCTCCATAATAACTGTGAGCCTCTTTCCCGAGTCTCCCACCTCAACATCATTCATACTGTTCATACCGACACGAGGTAAAATTACAGGTCAGCGCTCAAATCTCCGCAGCCCCGCTTGCCTTGTCACTCAATACAGCTGAGCTGAGCTCCGCCGCCAGCCCGGCGCCCCAATACTTAGAGGAAAGAGGGGGTGGGGGAGGGGGAGCACCGACGTGAGAAATGGTCGCGGCGGGTCCGGGCGTGGCGGGGCGTGGCGTGGCTGGCGGGTACGGGCGTGGAGATCTATCGGCGCACGGCTCGTTAAGTTCATGATTCCTCCGGCGCTCCTTCGTGTCGGTCTCATCCTTCTCACGCCTCTCTACCCTTCCTCATCGTCCTTCTCCTCCCTCCCCTCCCTCCCCCCCTCTCTCTCTCACCCTGGACGAGATGACTTCAGCGCCCTGCAGCGCCGCGTCGGTCAGGGTCGCGCACAGGTCCGAGTAGATGTCCTCGAGCTCCTGGCAACCGACAGGCGAAAAAAAGGCCAATTTTATTAGTGCAGATTTATTCAAGACATTGTGCGTATCAGAACGCACAACCATTACTGCGTGTGGGTGAATGCGGCATCCGTAGATGAAACGCACCTGCATGAGCGTGGGCAGTGTCTCGGTGCCGAAGTGCTCCAGGATGCCGTTGGTGGCGTGCAGCTGCGTCACGTACGCGTTGTGCGCGTCGAAGTACGTCGCCAGGGCGGCCGTGTTGGGCGACGCCATGTACGACATGTAGGCGTTCTTGTAGTCCTGTCGGGCCTGGAACATATTAGAGGAAGAGTCAGCATAGGAGGGTCGTAAAGGAAAGAATTCAGGCTCTACACTCCTTCGATCGACATTTTTTCTTAGTTTCTTAGTTTATCCTAATCGCCAGCCTAGAATGAATACAAAGCAGTGCTTCTCCCTGACTTCTTCCAGTAAGTAGTAAAAGGTCCAAAAAAACGGAAAACGGCACTGAAAAAACAAAGGTACTAAGTTAAATCAAATCGATAGTTTCTGTTAAACAAGGGAGGGGGAGACAGAGGATGCTCTGTCAATTCAAATGTGTACATGGTACACATTAAAGAAAGTGTACATGGCATGTATGCTTTAATTAATGTGTACACATAACATGTACACATTTATAAATGTGTACATGGTCATGTACACATCTTTTAAGGTAAGGGTCCGGTGAAATGCAGTTTTTCTACAGCTTTACAGTAAAACATTTTATCTTTTGGTATGTTGTAGGGGTCGTAAAAAAAGTAATTTGGACCACAATCTCACCTCTGTAGGTCAAGCCGTTCCCAAGTTACACTAATTTAAGTGTTTAAAATAGCTCAACTTTGGCGAACTCCTTGCGCAACACAGTATAGAGTACGACCCAACGCATTGGCAGTTGTTTTCTTAAAGCTTTTTCTGAGGTCTGATCAGTGAGACATTCGTAATTTTTCTATTCAGGCAGCATCCACAATTTTTTAAAAATGCTTCCTCTAAAAAGTAACGTTTTTGGCCGATTTTGACCACTTTTAGAGCTGTTATAAGAAATCTAGGAAGAAATTGGGAAAAAAGGAAGTCACAAATCAAAGGGCAGCTTTCTACCTCACAACCTGTTGCGCAAGAAGTTTCTCAAAGTTCCACAAAATGTTCTCTATCAACAACAGGCTTTTGTCGAAAAAGCTACAAGAGCCATTAGGTAGACCGATCCAAAATACAAAAGAAAAGACGTTTCGTGAACTTTAAATGGTTTCCCAAAAGGAGAGAGGTCGAAACATTGTTTTTTTCGGCAAAAACTCATTTAAGAATATTTGTACAAAAATTGCAATTTTTTCACCGGACCCTTACCTTAAAGTGTACATACAACCGTTAGTATACATGCCATGTACACATCTTTTAATGTGTACATGCCATGTACACTTTCTTTAATGTGTACTATGTACACATTTGAGTCGACAGAGTGGCGCAGGAAAGTGTTTTTCCTCAATCTTATCTAAATTTGTATGACCCGATGAAAATTTCCATTACTCCTTCCATGACATGCTTATTGCCCCGTGACTTCGTGACCGGTAAAAAACCGTGGATCGCTCACTGCAAATCCAAATTTGCGTTTCACAGAAAATATGAAACAGTCCCCTCTGATGACTCGTGACGCAGGTGTAGCTGGGGGCCGCTCTGTGCCGCACAGACACACACACACACACACGGGGGGGGGGACACGGGCACAGGGCCTGCTGGACGAGCCATCGCCCAATAACAAACTTAGACGACCCGGCAAGCGGGTCGGCGAGACATTCGCCCGTCCAAAATGTAATCCCGCCCCGATCCCCACTTCTGTGTCGCGCTGGATTGTCTGGTCGTCGTGGAGGGCGCCGCCGTCCTCCCCCTCCCCCTCTCCGCCGTGTCGGGCCGGTCCGCCTGGAGCCGACTAAAACCGGCCCTCCCCGCCTGCAGACGTGGCCCGCCGTACCGTGCCACGCCGCGGCGTGCAGCAGCGAGCGGGGGGCGGTCCAACGCCACGCCGCGCCCGGGGCCCCGCCAGGCCCGTCGGCGCCAAGCCCCCCGCCCTCATCCCTTATCGCTGGCGCCCTGCACGGCCCTGCACGGGGAGACTGCCGAGCTACTACATCCCTCTCTCGCTCAGGGGCCCTCTTAGCCCCCCGATATATATAAAGATGGGTTGTTCGCCGACGGCGGAATGGATGTCTTTGCCCCGGATGGTTTACACGGCGCCCGTTTAGTCCGCAGCAGCCGCGCGCGTGCACACCCACCGGGCGCACCGGGGAGTGCTCTCCAAGACCTGCACCTCCCACTCACAGTACCCGCCTCTCTCTC